TCATGGGGTCACGAAGAGTCGGACACGACTTAACGACTAAACAACAACAACAACAAAGGAATGAGTGACAATTAATACTGTGAATAACATGGGATACAGGTAGTTCTCGCTTAATGTCCATTTGTTCAGCGACCATAAAATCATAACAGAGAGTCTCAAATCTCTGTTGAAAAACAAACTATTTGGTTCCCATGAAAAGCTGTTCATTTTTTATAATTATTTCCAAAATCTTATAGTAAAAGTCTAAATATTCTAAATTTGTCTGGACTCTTAATTAATTTATAACTTTCTTAGATCAAAGTCTTTAGCTTTTTGCCCTTTATTTCCAATTCTTTAAGTTCTTACACTTATGGTTAATTTTTCTTTTGTTCAAGAATGAAGGTAAACTCACTGGGTAGCTTTTCAAACCTGTCGTTCCAAAGGTCTTTAATACCCTTAAGATATTTAAATAGGCAATTTCTGAAAGTGATTAGAAAGTGAAGTTAGAGAACCTATAGTCCTTTAAAAGGCTCTGCCACAGGTGAGAGCATGATGGCTTGATCTGTCCCCTGGCTCTCAAATCCATGGGAGACCACTGTCCTGTGGTCTCCTCACAAGAAGCAGCCATCTGGAGTATACGTCCAGAGAGGTTCCTAGGAACTGGTGTACTCACCAGATCTTCTGTCTTTCTGAGGTTGTTGTCTCAGGTTTTTTGGAGATGTGCTTAGTTTGCCATGCCTCCCCTGGAAGTCCCCAAAACAGAACAATTCAGAAGGGCATTGAGGGTTGACATCTTCTCATTGGATGGTTATTTATATTAGTTCTAATTTTATTGTTGATATAATAAATTTATTGTATTGTATCAACAATAAAATTAAAACTAATATTTGTTAGTTAATTTATTATATTTGTTGAGTTATTGTAATGTGTTCTGATTTTTAACTGTATGCTATCAATAAACCTATGAAACATAGCAGTATGAAAATATAGTAAATAAAAAAACAAGCATTTCTTTACATAACTATAGATACATACCCATGGATATATCTCTACATACTGTATAGGGGTACTGTATGTATGAAATAAATTGTCACATATAGTTCAGAAGATCCAAACTGATGGATGAGCAGAGTTCTTAATATTATTGGCATGCTGATATTATTGACTTGTTTATGTTTTTTTTCCCTCTAATAGGGGCCTTTATTTAATACCAATTCTGTAGTTCTAAAAATACTACAAGATTTTTATTCTTCCTGAATACCTGATTTGTAGAGAATCTAAATTGAAAAAATTGGGGTATCTTCATAACCACCAATTGAAGTTAACACCACCACGGTCTGGAATGTAAAGCTGCATTTTAATGTCATGATGAACCAGCAGAAGTGGGCTAATCTGAGTCCTTCGGAGTTTTCTCAGCTTCAAAAATATGCAGAATGTAAGTACTTACTTTTATATTTCCATAATTTTATTGTGTCATAATGAATTATAACTTTATAAAAAAAGTAATAGAAAACAAGTCTAGAGGCTACATCTAAATTTAAAATCTATGTTCTTCTGCATTCTCTTTTCAAAACAGAAAAATCAAGGCATTTTAAAAAATGGAATAATGATCAATAATACATAATAAAATTGGTAACTAATCATATCATTGATCATTATTTTGTTTTTTAAAATGTCATGATTTTTCTGTTTTGAAAAAAGAATGCAGAAGAACATAGATTTTAAATTTTAGGAACTCTGCAATAATTGAATATTAATCAATGGTATGGCCTCCTAAAGCCCAATGATAACTACTGCTTTCTTGCCAGTGTGATTTTATACTTGCAAATACAATATTTTTGTTGTTGGCATAATAATCTATGATTGATACAAGCAATTACTTCCTCACCTTGATGTGATATTGCGTGGTAGAGAATCTTAGGAACATTAGTCCCTTTTCCATAGGACCTTTTGATGTGCTTTGACATATTCTGTTTGACTTAGATATAGTGATTGGCAGAATAGTGTCAGAGGGGTAGTGGCAAGAATTTTGAAGAACTGGTTCTATGTAAGTATTTTGTAGAGCTACTCCAAAGTCACTGTAATGAAATAAAAAAAAATCCTTGCTCAAGAGTAATAATTTTCCTTGTATCATCATATAATCCTTGGTTAGGAAGGCACATATTACTCAGATGAAAATAAAATAAAAACATTAAATTGTAAAAAAAAGGTTAAAAAATAAAAATAAAAGGAATCCTTCCTTCCTTCATTTCT